CCCCAAAACCCCAAAACCCCAAAACCCCGGGGGTTAAAATTCATTGAAACACTAGAACTCAATTAAGAATTATTACTCAATAAAATTACGCCAATTATATTTGAGTAAATTCTCATCTCAGATGTCTTCATTTCTGGTCTACTTCGAGTGGTCTCAAATTTGTACATGGCCGAATCCATGCTTGGCCAAGATTTCCTCGACTGTCTCAAAGTCCATTCCACATTCTTTCATCCCAATCCCCTGCAGATTGTTCTTAAAGTCTTGTTCCTTGGAAAGCCCTTCGACCAGGTTTTCAAAATGGGACTCGTTGGAGGCCCAGTCGCAGCGATCACTTTCTCCTAAGAAGTTCAAACCTAATCCTTTGAGAGTGCTGCCCTCGAGTCTGCCTCCGAAGTCAGGAACAGATGAAAGAGAGAGGTTGCAAGCGTTAAACCCAACTGCTTTTTTGTGTTTATAAGCAGCAAGGAGAGTGACGAGTTGGGGCTGAGAAACTTCAAAGTTACAAATGACCAATCCTCCTCAAACTCTCTGGCTCACTGCTGCCAATTCGTCAATGTACAGGGGCAAGGAGGACGACTGAGGGTAGGACAAATTAAAATGGAAGTCGTTCACTTTAGAAGGAAACCGAGTGGCCAGGAATGTTTTGACCTCCTCGCTGTTTACAGGGATGTCATCAAGAATGAGTCTATCCAACTCAGGCATTCTGTGTTCCAGAGAAGTCAGGAACTCCATGTGCTTGGGATCGGTAAGTTTAAGTTCTAGTCGTGTTTCCGAACTGAACTGTATGTCTTCGCCTGTAATAATAAGCAAACCAATATTTTTGTGGTGAAATCTTGGAAAGAGTAAGTTCTTATAGCAGTGAGCAAGGGTTTGTTATGATGAAATTCGAAAATTTAAACCATATCATTCTTGATAATGGTCCTACAATAGCAACCAGTCAGAAATGTTTTGTTGAATATTATTTCCATTCAATTAAGGCCTCATTGAAAGAGTTTTTCTCTTTGGGTTAAATCATGAAACTATTATTTAGCATCAAATTCTCTAAGTGTTACACATAAATTCTTCTTTGATGGCTAATACTAATCCTCAAACTATCAGGTATTTCTAAGAGTTCTCAAACGATCATAAGACTTTGAATTTGTTCATAAATTAGTAATTTCAATAATTTCAGAAGTTCATCAAACTTTCGGATGCTAATAGAAAGATTCATAAACAAAGTAACCATGCACAAAGTGTTCAGCATGAAGTTTTAAGCGAGGAAGAATCTGTCCTTAATTAGAGTAAGCATCAAATCCTATTTAGGCAACTAATGCTTGTTGCTGGGTTTTAAATTCGCTAGCAAATATTCAGATGCCCATATCTTACTTTGGTCTTCCAAATTTAAGTTACTCTTGAGCTCTTCTATCTTCTGATACAGCCTCTTGTTCTCTTCCTCGAGGGTCTTGATGGTGAAGTCTTTTTGTTTAAGCTCTTCTAGAAGCTTATCCTGTTGTTCTGATCCTTGTCCACCTGGTCCAGCTGGGGCCCTGAAGTCTTGGTTACATTGCCTAAATAATTTTAGTTGGAGATCGGGAGAGAATAAATTTTTAAGCAATTGTTTCTCCAAGACCTAAAACTTTTGTATTCATACTCTTGAGAAGCAAGAAAGCCCATCAAATGCATCCTTACGCTTAGAGGATGAACCAATGCAAGCATTGAACCACTAAGGTGCCTGGAAGTTCTCCTAGCTAATGTAGATACATATATGAATCCTAAGCAATGTATTTAAAATTACTCAGGTTAATGGCAGATGGGTTATAAAAAGAAAGCTTCTAAGATTAATTGACAAAGAACTGAGAGCCAAAGCATAGCCTAGTTCCCAGAATTTATCTAAGACAGATTAGTTTTAAGAATTTTCTCATATAATTAGAAAGCAATCATTGATGAAGATTTATATCGGAAGAGGAGGAACACTAAGTTATTGGTTTATTTATTAAGTCAAACTTAAGAAGACAATATGAGCACATCTCCATACAAGATATGAAGGATAGACTTACCCTTCCATTAAACTCCAAAGAAACTTGCAAGCAAATTCTGAGAAGGTCTGTTCACCGTCCATGCTAGCCTGGATATCTTTGGCTTTTGTCATCAGAGCTCCAAATTCATAAAAGGATCCTTGTTTTAAAGCTTGATCCGTTGCATCTCTGAGCTCTTGTAGTTTATGATAGAATTCTTGTTGAAGCTTTAGTGTTCTCTCATCAGGCTCCTCGTCATATTCACCTTTTATAAAAATTGTGAAGGTTTTAAGCATTTTCTCTACAGCTTTAATCTTTGAACCAACAAGATCTGAAGAGATGAGATTCTCTCCTTCAGCTAGATCATATTTATTGCAGAAATGTTCCCCGCAATAGCATATTTTCGTCTCCTTAAGATACACAGAGGCTGTTTGAGAGCATTTCTCCACACAACACTGGGGGAATTTTTCCATTTTATATTTTAAATTAAGTTAATTGAATTATTCAGACCTCTTCTTAATAGGTTCAACCATCTGAGCTTATCTTGGGGTTTTGGGGTTTTGGGGTTTTGGGGTTTTGGGG